CGCGGGGCCGCGGCCGGGCCGGGGCGGAGGCCACCCGTCTCCCCAGGACGCGCTGACCTCTCGGGGCGACGGGGCGGAGCCCTGCACCGAGGCGATGTACCGCTCCACGTCGGCCTTGCTGCGCCTCATCGCGCCGCCGACCTGGCTCCCGAGGCGCGGGAGGCCCGCCTGAGACCCACGGCGGTCGCCGTCTCCAGGAGCGAAGCGCCTGAAAGCCCGTGACGCAGCGCCGTCGCCGGCGGAGCAGCCGCTCGACCGGCGTGCGTGTTGCGTCAGCACTGTGCGCCACGCCGACGCCGGCGCGCTCCCGCCGCGCACAGCCCGCCCTGGGTTCTGCGCGCCGTGGCTCCTAGGCCAGTCAGCTGCCGGCTGTCGGAGCGGCGGCGCCAACCCCGCGCCCGGGCCAAGGACCAGTAGCTAGATCAACGAGATGATGTGTTACCTGATGAGTCCTCAAAGGTTTCGGTCATTTGTTCTTGATCATAGTTTCGCGATGTTGTGGAAGTAAAAAGCACTCTCAGGCCATTTTGATGAGCGTGTAAATTGGAACAACCTTTCTGGAGGCGATTGGTTAAATATATTATGTAGGACACGTGTGAATACGAAGCATACGTGTTAAAATTCATGCTTTTCAAAATAACATACATGAAAAAATTAAAAAGCCCAAAATACTATGTTTGGAGACGATTACAGTTACATGTATGAATAGCCCCCCAAATTTATGTATATTTCAGTAGCAGAACAGGATATACTAAAATGTCAACAGTAATTATTCAAGATGAGTCATCTGTATTTTCCAAATCTCCAAAAATGTTAACTTTTGGAATTTTAATTTTAAAATCTTAGTTTAAAGCAAGTTTTATAAAATGTTTTCAATGGTGAAGACATTTTTGGGTTAAAAAAGATCACATCCGTGTATACAGTATGGTCTTAATTATCTGGGAAAATATCAAACAAATGAAATATGTTGAAATTTTTAACTGGAAGTTTAGGATGTTATGGTTATGGATAATTTTTATCCTTTTTTTTAATAGACGAAATACAGTTTTATCCAATCACTTAGAATTAACCTGGCCTCTTACAGCCTATCTGCTCAGTCTATCCTTTTTGATTTTTCATCTTTTCCAAATTTTCTACATTGAGCAAGTATTTCCTTTATACAGAGGGAAAAACAGCATTTTATTTTATTTCAATCATATTGAATGTGAATGAGAAAAGGAAATGATGATGCTGAGGTCACTAGTGTGACTGACATACATTAACAGTGTCAATTTAAAAAGCAAATTTGCCTGTTATTTTATCTCAAAACGAGTTTATTTGGGAATAGCCAAAAGAATAGCAATTTGTGATGTGCATGCTATGGCAAACTGTAGCAAATCAGAAAACAAAGGAGGAGTAGGGAGGGGCTATTGTAAGGAAAGTCCATGGCAGGGGAAGTAGCAGTTCAGAGCCAGGCAGCTGTTCATTGGCTGGGCTGTGGCACTTCTCATTGGCTGGGCTGTTGTCGGGTGGGGAGAGAAACCTTCCTTCAGTAGCAAAGTAGTTTTACTTCCTGTGGAAGATGCAAGCATCAAGTCTTTTTCTGTTTGGTGTAACTGACCATGTGTTATAGGACGTGAAAACTCCCCCTACAGGCCTTCCTGACTCCAATTTAGTTAAGGTGGTTTAGGATGGAAGATCCTGTTTTAGGTAGTTGATCTATATCACTTGAGGTGCCATTTTTACATACAAGTGGAGACGCCTAATAGGTAGATAAAATAGTAGGACCAAGATCTGTGATGGACTTGGAAGTCATAAATCTCAGGTGATAGTTGAAACTGTGAGTTTTCCTTGGGAAGAGTGTTGGTAATAATAACGGTAGCTAACAAGTAAGCACTTGCTCTGTTCCAGGTTCTTTTCTTAGCACTTCACATGTATTAACTCATTTAATTCTCCCAACAATTTCATAAGGGTACTATTATTTATTATTATCCTCAGTTTTACAGATAAGGAAACCAAGGGAGTGAGCAGAAAAGCAACTTTCCCAAACACACTTACTTAGTAAAATTACTACCATTAATCTGTTTAAGTTGAATATACTGAAAAGGAGTGGGCCAAAGAGAGAACCTTCTTGAAGAACTCAAAAGACTTTTCTTAAGTTCATTTACTAAGCTTTGAAACCTCCGTTTTCACTAAATGGGACGATTAGCCTGTTCTCCTGGGCTTTAAAAATACTGCAGACATTCTTCTCCATGGTGATGTCCATTCCAGCCTACATCTTTTCCCAACATGGACCAGTTCCATCCAAACATATTCTCACAAGTAATTACCCTTCCCCAAATCACACACCTAACTATAATGTTCTCTACAACGAACTGCTTAGCAGTAGGATGAATTGCACTCCAACAGCTCCAGAACTCATGTTGACACATTGCAAACTCAATTCGAACGAGAGTTGAATCTATAGAAATATCTGAAATGTCTGACTTATGACATTTTTTATTAGAGCAGTTTTACCTGATTAATGTGTGTCCTCAACTTCTCAATTAATTGAACTAACAGGCATCCAACACTGATGTGGCTCAAACTCACGAGTTTCTTTCATCTCCTCAAGTACCTCTGTCCTCTGTTACTGATTATCACCCATTGCAGACACAGTATCTTTCATATATCATAGGATTCTTTTTTTCTTCAGAATCATTCATATTGTCAGTTCATCTCATCAGTTTCTCAGTGCTCCCAATTTGTATGATTCTAAAGTAATCCTAACCTACTGCTTTTAGGTAGCGCTTTGAATATTCTCACACCCTTTGAACTTAGTAGATGTGATGAGGTTAAAGATGTTCCTGAAGAACCTGAGAAACAAGAGGAACCAATGTGACTGCACATTGCCACTGACAATATCTTTTGTTCTTGCACATAATTAAGTTGTTTTCATTTAAAAAGTTTTACTTTGATTGCATCTCTGAAAATGGAGGCTTTTGCACAAGCTGCCCTTGATATCCATACTACCTAAACTGCCTTTTATGTGCAGAAATGGACCTCTCATGCATCAATTGAGGAAGAATTTGGGGCTATCATATGATAGCACAACCCTGCTAGGAATCAGAGCTTGCAGAAATCATAAATTAAGGAATATATGTATATGTATATGCATTTGTATGTATATATCTATATGTATGTGTGTGTATATATGCATGCACATATGTGTGTATGTACGCATGTATGGGAATTGAATCCCCCAAATCAGTGCTGTGTAATATAAATATAATGTGACCCAACATATAATTTAAAATTTTCTAGAAGCCTCACTTTAAAAAGGAACAGGGGGGGCCGGCCCCGTGGCTTGGTGGTTAAGTGAGCGCGCTCCACTGCTGGCGACCCGGGTTCGGATCCCGGGCTCACACTGACACGCTGCTTCTCCGGCCATGCTGAGGCCGCGTCCCACATACAGCAACTAGAAGGATGTGCAGCTATGACACACAACTGTCTACTGGGGCTTTGGGGGGAAAAAATAAATAAATAAAATCTTAAAAAGGAACAGGAAAAATTAATTTTAATAATCTTTTATTGAACCCAATATACTTTAAATATTATAATTTCAACATGCAATTAATATAAACAAATTGTTAATAATCTATCTTACATTTTTTTTCTACTAAGCATTCAAAATACAAAGCATACGCGTGTGTGTTTTACACTTACATCTTAATTCAGATGCTGTTTTCATCAGAAATACTTGATCTATATTTAGATTTCATAAAATTTAGGGTTGAAAAAATAGGTTCATATACCCAAGTTGTTCCAAACATACTTAGAAGTTTTCAATAACTGAACTGAATATCAAGTTTTAAAATTTAAATTGAAATTAATTAAAATTAAATCAAATTAAAAATTCAGTTGCTCAGTAGCACTAGCTACATTTCAAGTGCTCAGTTGCCATATGTGTCTAGTATATTGGACAGTGCAGCTCTATATAATTATATTGCTTGTTGTTCAGACATTAAACTTAAAAAGGAGCAGGTTATGTAGGAAAACAGATACTACCTATAGCAGTCAACTTGGCTGAAGGAAGATCCAAAAAGTACAGCATCCTAGTAGCTAAAAAGTGGCACTTTAAGTGGAGAATAATCAACAGCATAAAGTGCTGCAAAAAGATCAGGAATGATGACTAAGAACAACTGTTAGACTTGCTTCCTAAAAGCTGATTTGCAGGCAAAAACCAGCATGCAAATCGTTAAGGAGGGATCAGGTGGTAAGGAAATGAAGGGACAAAGTGATGATTAATTTCTTTTTTTTTTTCCACAGGGGAAGAGTCACCCTAAGCTAATGTCTGTTGCCAATCTTCCTCCTTTCTTCTTCCTTCTTCCTCCCTTCTTCCCCCCCAAAGCCCCCGTACATAGTTGTGTATAGTCGTAAGTTCTTCTGGTTCTTCTTATGTGAGTCACCACCACGGCATGGCTACTGACAGACAAGTGGTGTAGTTCCACGCCCGGGAACCAAACCCTGGGCCGCTAAAGTGGAGCACGCAGACCTTTAAGTGCTATGCCATCAGGGCTTGCTCTACTTTCTTTTTAATAGGAAGAACTGATGTTGGTATTTTCAGTAAATAATCTTATAGAAAAATTGCCTTTTTGGGGAGTGTATAGATTTATGAATTATAAGACATGCATAGATTTGTGATCACTACCACAATCAGGATACAGAACAATTCCATCATCCCAAAAACCTCATCACATTATTACTTTAGAGTCATACCCTCCACTCACCCCTTACCACCGAGCACTTTTCCACACTATAGTTTTGTCTTTTTAAGAATATCATATGAATGGAATCATACAGTATGTAACCTTTTGATACTGGCTTCTTTCACTCAGCATAATGCCTTTGAAATTTATCCAAGTTTTTTCATATATCAATAGTTTATTCTTTTTCATTGCTGAGCAATATTCCATGGTATGAACATACCACAGGTTTATCCATTTACCATTTGTAGGGCATTTGGGTTGTTACCAGTTTTTGGTGATTATAAATAGAGCTGCTAGGGCTGGCCCTGTGGCTTAGCGGTTAAGTGCGCGTGCTCCACTGCGGGCGGCCGGGGTTTGGATCCCGGGCGCGCACCGACGCACCGCTTCTCCGGCCATGCTGAGGCCGCGTCCCACATACGGCAACTAGAAGGATGTGCAACTATGACATACAACTATCTACTGGGGCTTTGGGGAAAAATAAATAAATAAAATTATTAAAAATTATATAAATAGAGCCACTATAAACATTTGT